GTCAGGAGATTAGGAAGCAGCTCCAAGAAACTGACCAGGAGGTCATGGAATGGCTAAGAGTGTTCTCAGTAAGTACATGATATCATGATTTGTTACTAAAGGAATTCCTTCAGGAAAAGTTTGAGCTTGTATTAGAATAGAATAGACTTCATTGTCAGTATTATCGTATATAATAATATTAAAGTGATCAATTATTATACGTGATTGTATTGTTGTAGAGTTATAGGCAGAGGAAGAAGAAGGAGCCAATGAAGCAGAAGGAAAGAGAGAGTGGTCAGAGGTGTCTTGATAAAAGACAAAGACTATCCCAACACTTGCTAGTTAGATTTTCTGTTTATGTAGTTTTATGTGAATATACGACTCAATAATAAGTCAACGTCAAGCAACTATGTATGTAATCAAGAGTAAGACTAAGTATAATAATTATAATATCTATGGTTGGGCATGGGTTGGGGTGGACACGTGTAGGCCAGAGGACTGAGAGGAGTATAAGGCGAGGTTATTAGGTTAAAGATGGACAGAAATTTAGATGTATCAGGTAGGCTGAAGTAGCTCTCTCCTCTCTCTTGTTAATGTTAATTATTGGTATTCTACAGGTCAGTATCAACTGGGATGGAGAGCTCAACACACAACTGCAGTAGTAGGAGAGGTCCTGTACTGCTGGGGAGGCCGGGTCCGGGAAGGACTAGATAAGTCACACGATTCTCCTAAAAAGAAACAGTATACTTCTGCTATTGATGCGTTTAACTTATTATCTGGTGTTTGGTCCTCTCAACCTACTAGTGGTACTCCTCCACTGGGAATCAATGGAGTCTCCTGTACCACCATTAATAATAATATTTATTATTTTGGTGGCTATTGTGGCCATGGCAGTTGCTACCATAACAGCTTGAACTTTTTAAACACTTTAATTCTCCACTGGAAAGAATTACAGCCAACTGGTGACAATTCTGTGACTAAGAGAGCCTTTGGTGGTATGATAGCAATGGGAAGTGAAGATGAACCTCAACAGTTACTGGTTATTGGTGGACTGGCTCCTAAATCAACTAATACACAGTATCATCAGTTTGAATACATTGAGATACCTGGCGTTGATGGTCATGTTAGAACTAATGAACAGAATATCTACAACCTGTCTACTGGTAAGTGACTCATTCATGCAATTATAACGTATAGTGAAAAATTTTTGTGGCCCAAAAATTTCGCAGATCCATTCAAAAATCAATTTTGTGGCTTTAATTTTTGTGGTTTTCTACTTCTCATCCATCTTGAACCATATTGAATCAATTTTTGTGGATTTTATTTTCGTGGATTTAAAGAAATATGAAATCCACAAAAATTTTGGGTCACGAAAATTTTCTGCTATACGGTAGTATAGTCATAGATATGGACCGGGTGATTTAGTGTACTTATAAACTATGTATGTAGTTACTGATAATTATTCTTAGGTCAATGGATTGTTCCATCTGTCAGTGGACAGTGTTTTCCACCAACTAGTCAATTTATAGTTGAAAGGATCAGTCATAATAAAGGAATTATGTATGGAGGAATAGTGACTGATAATGATGGCAATATTTCTACTAACAGTATCTACTTGTTTCAATTATCACATAATACAATAGTAAGTGATACACTATCAGTATATTACAGCCATTAACAGATGAGAATAATACATTTTTATGAATGATATACGTCTTTTTAGAACTGGGAGTATCTTAACCAAGGATCAATACCTAATGATGGACTATGGCCTAAAGGAAGAGAGTCTCATGCCAGTACTATTATCAATGGTGTCTCTACCTCACCTGCAGTAGTAGTGATTGGTGGAATGAATACTAGGAATCGATCAATGAATGATTGTTTATTATTAGACACAAACCAGTACAATTGGATAAAGGTATCAGGGGCATAGGCAGGATTTTTAAAATGAGGGGGTAAGCTGTGCAGTGTGCAAATTTTGTGAAGCTATGCCCTTTTGGGGTGTTACCACACCTTATTTTCAACATAGCGGACTTTATATCATATACTGGGATATTTTCACGTCACTAATTTTTTTTGCAAATTTTGCATTTGTAAGATTTTATGAAATATTATTTTTGTGAATAGCTTGTAAACTCCACCACGTGGCAATGGAAATTCAGAATTTCACGATTTTATTTTCACGACGGAGCAAGAAAACACGAAATCTGCAAAAATCCGCAAAAATTTGGGTACTTGAAAAATTTCCCAGTATAAGGTAATAGCATCATAAGAAGACTGATTTAGCCTTTTCCTTTCATATGTAAGTTATAGAACAGCTTTTTCTTCCAAAAGCAGCTTATTATTTTAATTTTAAATTTTGATTTTGGGGCATTTCCCCCCTGGCTATGCCCCTGGGTTAATATTAATACATTATAGTGGTTACACCAGCATAATGAATGTGAATTGACTAAAATATTTATGTTACTTAGGGTGTGGCTAAAGATTATTATTTTGCTTCCTAATTTTAAAAATTTTGTTGAGCAGTGCCCCTAAATGCTAACCCTATAGCCACCTACATTAAACTATCCTATAACTGATACCAACGTGACTGTACACTGTATACTCTATTTCTTATTCTCTACAGTTTTCTGTACCTGATTCTGTTACTGGAAGATATGATCATACTGTATCATCTTTTGTTGTTGATCCTAATCATGTGTTCCTGATAATAGTGGGGGGTTGTACAGAGGCTAAACAGAAAGATGTAGGAGGAGGAGTAATGAAATTGTTTGATGTACCTGTCACTGATCAAAATATCACAATGGTAGTGGAACTAGGTAATATTATTATTTGTTCATGTCAGACTGAAAAATTTTGCATGCTTGTGCTAATTTATACCCACAAAATTTATAGGAGAATGTGGTGCAATAAATTAATTGTTGTAGATTAATAATATCACTGTTGAAAATTATAATTAGAACAATACATTTTCCTAAATTCAAAAGTATAATTTGTCATTCTTTTAGTCTTTTATCTCCCTCACTCTCAATGACACAATCACTAACTTATTTCACACCTCCTTTTTCTTCTCTCTCTCCCTCAGGTTTTAGCGATGGTCAATGGTCAGTGGGTCTAGTATTACATTCATATAGTATTCCTTTATTGTATGAACTAATATTAAAAGGAAGAAGAAAGGAATTGATTGGAAGGAATGAATACATGACAGATAAAGTGAAGGAGCTTCAAGTCATCAATGAGTCTTTACTTTATGATCTACAAGTGGCTAGAATTAACAACCAATCACTTCAGGAAGCACTACTAGCACTGGAATCACGTATACATGTACATGTACCGTTATACTACAATTACTGCATTTATACAAGATTTTGTTGTTGTGTAATAATTGCTTTGTGTCATGAAATTATAATTATTGTATGATTTTGTCTATCAATCACTTATACAGTAACCTTATTATATTGAGTATATTGCTCATTTACATGTATTAGGCACAATTTGAATAACATCATCACCAGCTTGATTGAGTTTTTGTTAGTGCCGATTTTTACGCCATTTGTGCCATGTCATACATTATGTATTAATTTACTTTCATTAATTAATTTTTATTTTTATTCTACTATTTCAAATGAAGAGAAGAATATGCTGGAAACACAGCTACTAAAAACTAAGGCGCTTCTTACTAAACGAAAGAGAAACCAAGAGGACTCACCACACTCAGGTAATAAGTATATAGAAAGTAATGCCATATGCATGTAAATTTGTAGCTGGTAATTTGAGGGGTAAATTACTCATTTTGGTGATTGGTGTGCTTTAATTAAAAAATTATGGCCATATGCCATTGTGCATACACAATTACACATAATGTTAGGTTTTGTTTTGGTAAATGGCTATTAAAATTCCAAACATATTTGCTAAAATTTTATTATGAGCTAAATAGTACATTGATTTTAACGTCAATAAATAGTTTTTCTGTTAAAAGTAAAGATTTAATTTCTACAGATAATGCTAAGAAGTTTAAAACTGATGAATCAGTGGAGGAGAAACAAATAATGACTGATGGTCAGTGTACATGTATCATCAGTTTATAATATTAAATAAGAGATATACATGTACATGTAGATGGTTATGAGAAACATGTAGTTGCAGATGAGTTGAAGAAACAAGTAGAGGAACAATACCAACAGATCACTAAAGGTTAGGACAAGTGTACACATGTACATTATATGAAAGAATATTTAGAACTTGAAAGTCAAGTTACTGAATTAGAGGAAGAGAAGGAACAATTTAAGAAAAAATACCTCATGGAGAAACAGATCACTGAAGGTTAGAGTATTGTCTTGTGTATATTATGAGAGAATATTTAGAACTTAAAAATGAAGTTACTGAATTAAAGGAAGAGAAGAAACAAGTAGAGGAAGAAAAAAGTAAAGTAGAGAAACAATACCTCGTGGAAAAACAAATTACTAAAGGTATTGTCATGCGTGCATATGTATTATGAGACAATATTTAGAACTTAAAGCTCAAGTTACTGATAAAGAGAGGTATACTGCCAAACTAATGAAGGAGAAGGAGCAATGGAATCAAACCAAAGAGACTAGTACCAAAGAAGTGCAATTTGATTACATGATCCCTTCAATGGGTAAGAGTATTATACTGACTGAGTGTATATTGTATACAATTGATAGATAATTTGGAATGTCTGAGTGATGTCCAGGTAGCAGAGAAGAAGCTGTTCTTAATTCAAGGAGACAAACCTCAACTGATGAATTGGGAGGAATATGGTCTAAGGATTGGAGTACAAGAAGGAAGCCTATTGTTCTCTGAGACAGTAGAAGCAGCAGTGGTTGCTCTTGTAGGAGGACATTTCCAGTTTCCTCCTAATACTGTCCTAGTGAGTGATGTGTATGCAGTATCACTCTCAAAGTCTCTCCTCAAACGACTCAAGTTAGAAATACAGCACTGCGTTAATTTAACAGGACGACCAGATCTTGCACAATACTTAAAGTTTGCTATAGCTCCCGTGAGCACACCCAGTCTTCCTTACCAATTCTCAATAGTCGAAGGAGGAGAGTTTAACTCTGATGGTTGGTATGGATCCATTCAACGTAACAAGTTCTGTTTGGTTTGTATACTGGGGGAAGAATCAACTGATGGAGACACAGAGGAAGGAGCTGAGGAACAGCAACCACAACAAGAGGAGAATGAGGAGGAGGAGGGGGACAAAGAGGAAGGAGAGGGTAGTGATAGTGATGATGTTGATATCAGCAGTACTCCATCAGAGGCTAGTGGAGCATGTAAAGGTTAGTTAGTGAGTCTATTGATGATAATGTAATGTATTCCACTACTGAATAGAGTCTACTACTAAAGAGACTAACCTCCCAACCAATACAGTGTCTTTTGCTGATACTATTACTACACCAAACACTGATCATATTAACAGTAAGTACATGTACACACTCTCCTATCACTAATAATATTATAATTATATTTATTTTTATAGAAGTACATTCCACTGGTATAAAGGAGGCTATGACGTATGCTGGTTTGATCTACTATCAAGAGAAAGGTGTAGAAGATTTAGTAGTGTTTGCTGCAGCCAGAGACTTGAATGCTCTCATTGAGGCAAGTGTGTCCCTTGTATATCAGTTATTGATTGATGTTTTGTGAACTTACAGTTTATTAAAAGTGATTTTCCTGGAGCTGAGAGAGGACAATACGTTTATTTTCGTTTTGAAGATAATGATGGATGTATTGAGCTGAAGTTTGATACTCCACAAGAGAAGGATATTACTGGTTGGACTATTGACCCTCACATGAAACCATGCAGGGTAAGTGTAACACTATTATGGCAAATACTGTAAATTATTCTATCTCTTAATAGTTACATCGTTGTGATGTTAATGGGTTTGGTGAAGCTAATTATCCTCTTCCTCCATCTTGCTTGATATCCGTTTTTGCTTCACCTGATGCTGTCCCTACACTACATTACTCCATACCACTGGAAGGTGTGGCTGATCCTGTTTCATTATATATCCACAGATCACTACAAAGAAATCCTCCTCCTCCTTCAATAGGTAATAGAAACAAATGATTTGAAATTATTTATTTAATTATTTAATATTAATCAGATCCTACTACCTTCTCCTCAAATACAATTACTGAAGCCACTGCATCATCCACTGGAGGAGCTAGTAAGTAACAGTGTGTGTCTGTGTTTATGCATGGTTTATGTGTATTGGGTTATATTGACCTTTGACCTCTATTAGGTGCACCAGATACTGTTGATGTTGAGAGAGTGAAGAAAATCATTAATGATGTTCTTGTATCTCACTTTGCTGTCCTTAATGATCTTAAAACATCTCTCTCAGATCTTGGTAATCAATTGTTTGCCACTGAGCTTATTAGTGATGAAGTCAGAGAGACTCGTAGCATGGAAAAATTTATCGGAGAGTTCAAGGCTAGTTTCAACTTTTTGGATGAAATGTCTGAAATTCAAGATCACTGTACAAAGTTTTTGAACTCATTCATTGCTGTTCGAGGTGGTTATGCTAATGCTGCCAAATTTTTACGTAAGAAGTGGATTGGAGCTATTAAAACTAAACTAGGCACTGATTTTATTCTTGATATTTAGTAGAAATTCCACTCCCCACAAGTAGCAATGCATGTACTATAATGTGTGTGTGATGCTGCTATTTTGTAACAAAATTTTTAAAAATATTGATTATAACCACGAAGCTATTAATTAATATTGACTGTAAACTATTATTTAATGATTCTAATGAGTCATTGTTTTTAATGAATATAAAGTTTTGGGTGGGACCAGTCATTGATTGGACCAATCAGATCGTCGTGCATGATGACATGATAATTATGTCAGCCCCACCTAGCTTCAGGGCGTGGCTCAATTTGCAAATCTGCAGCTCAGTGGTGTGAAAATGACATCAACATGAAATAAATTAAGAAATCAGTTACAAGGAGCTGGCCAGGAGGTTATAGAGTGGTGTAAATGAATAATAGCTACCATTGTTGAACTGTGCTGCATGAGCAGTGGGCTGGATCATATGATATATGTAGATCTATTTGTTACCGTAGCTCTAGCGCTCGTAAAAATGGACAGAAATGTAGTTCAAACAAGTCAGTCCTTTGAAATTGAAGCCTCTCTTTTTTATGCTTTGTTATTATTCTACAGATCAGTACAAATTTAAATGGAGAGCTCGACACACAACTGCTGTAGTAGGAGAGGTCCTGTACTGCTGGGGAGGGGATAAGGAAGGCTTAGATGAGTCCCATGATTCTTCTACAAAAAGACAGTGTACTTCTGCTATTGATGCGTTTAACTTATTATCTGGTGTTTGGTCCTCTCAACCTACTAGTGGTACTCCTCCATTGGGAATCAGAGGAGTCTCCTGTGCTGCCTTTAATAATAATATTTATTATTTTGGTGGCTATTGTGGCCATGACAGTTGCTTCCATAACAGTTTGAACTGTTTAGACACTTTAACTCTTCAATGGAATAAATTACAACCAACTGATGACAATTTTGTAAATAAGAGAGCCTATGGTGGTATGATAGCGATGGGAAGCGAAGGTGAACCTCAACAATTACTGGTTATCGGTGGAATAGCTCCTATATCAACTACTACACACTATCATTCTCAGTTTAAATACAAGAAGATACCTGACATGGATGAACGTGTTAGAATTAATGAACAGAATATGTACAACCTGTCCAGTGGTGAGTCAGTTTTGAGGAAATAAATATTTTTAAATTGCACATTACTTTATATTTACCGGTATATTATTATTACATCTAAAATAAATTACATCAATACACAAAATAATAATTTTTAGGACAATGGATTGTTCCATCTGTCAGTGGACAGTGTTGTCCACCAACTGATGGTTTTATAATTGAAAGAATCAGTCATAATAAAGGAATTATGTATGGAGGAGGAGTGTCTCATGGTGGTATCAGCATACCTACTAACAGTATCTACTTGTTTCAATTATCACATTGTAATGATAGTATAATTATAGTAAGTTATACGAAAAGTAATTTACAATCACAATAGTATAACAAAATTAAGTTTAATCAAGCTACATCAAGAGTACATACTCTTGGCTACATGAACAGTTCATTTAATATTATATGAATAATGTTATAGAACTGGGAGATACTGAAGCCAGGAGCAATACCTGTTGATGGAGTATGGCCTAAGGAGAGGTGTGCTCATGCTAGTGCTATTATCAATGGTGTGTCTACCTCACCTACACTAGTAGTGATTGGCGGAATGGATCATAGGAATCAACTAGTGAATGATTGTTTGTTATTAGACACAAACCGGTACAATTGGATGAAGGTAATACACAATAGTCAATATACAGTGAATGGGAATTGACTAAAGATTTGTGATGTGAATGTTACTAGCTTACTAGTCATCAGACAATCATTGTACTTGCTATTTTACTTCCATTTTAAAAATTCTTCTTGGTGTAGCTAATAATGGTTTTTGCCATTAAATGTCCAATCCTCTATATGCATCATGTAATACCACCTCAGCCTTGTCTGTATAGCTGTATAACTTGACCTGTACTATGTTATTATAACTGTAAACTGTACATTGTGTATGGTATTTTCTTATTTTCTACAGATTCCTCTACCTGATTCTGTTACTGGTAGATACTATCACACTGTATCATCTTTTGTTCTTGATCCTAATCATGTGTTCCTGATAATAGTGGGAGGTGATGTAGAGAGTATGGACTGGATTAATAGACGTGTTCCTGATCCTCTTATTACAATGCTAATAGAACTAGGTAATATTATCATATTATTCACTATCATTCAAAGTCCAGAGATAAAGTGATGCAAAAAAATAAATAATTGATGATGGTAATCAATACCGTATACTGGGAAATTTTCGAGTAGCCAAATTTTTGCGAATTTCGCGTTTTTTGCTCCGTCGCGAAAATAAAAATTGTGAAATTCTAAATTTCCATTGCCACGTGGTGGAGTTTACAGGCTATTCGCGAAAATATTATTTCGTGAAATCTTACAAATGCAAAATTCGCGAAAATTTAGCGACGCGAAAATATCCCAGTATACGGTACTAGAAGTCATTAATATACTTCAAATATATTTTAAATAATTATGTTATTGCTTTTTTCTGTCCTTTTCCCTCCCTTGCTCAATCATTCACTTATTTTTACTCCTCATCCTTTTTTCTCCCTCAGTTTTTAATGATGGTCAATGGTCAGTGGGTCCAGTTTTAGATTCATTTAATATTCCTTTATTGTATGAGCTAATACTAAAAGAAAGAAGAAAAGAATCATACATGACAAATAAAGTGAAGGAGCTTCAAGTTATCAATGAGTCTTTACGTCATGATCTACAAGTGGCTAGAACTAACAACCAATCACTTCAGGAAGCACTACTAGCACTGGAATCAGGTATATATACAATTATACATGTACCATTATACTACAATTACTGCATTTATATAAAATTTTGTTGTTGTGTAAAAATTGCTTTGTTTTATAAAATTATATTTATTGTATGATTTTGTCTGTCAATTACTTATACAGTGTCCTTTATTATTGAGTATTGCTCATTTATTAGGAACAATTTTAATAACATCATTACCATCATTGCCACATTACGTATTAATTCACTTTCATTAATTAATTTTTATTTTTTATTCTACTATTTCAAATGAAGAGAAGTGGATGCTTGAAACACAACTACTAGAAACTAAGACTCTTCTTACTAAACAAAAGAGAGACCAAGAGGACTCACCACACTCAGGTAATATGAATTATAAATAACCAATTTACCCATATATGTAATGCCCATATACACATATATAGCTAGTGATTTTGAGGGTTGAATTAGCTCATTTTGGTGATTGATGTGTTTTAGTTTATTCAGCAAAATTATGGCGATGTGCCATTGTGCATACACACAATGGTTCAAAATTGCAGGCCTTGTTTTAGTGAATGGCAATCAAATGCCAAAAATATTTACTAAAATTTCATTAAAAGCTAAACAGTAAACAGTACATTGATTTTAACGTCAATAAATATTTTTCTGTTAAGAATAAAATTTAATTTTCTGCAGATAATGCTAAGAAGCTTAAAACTGATGAATCAGTGGAGGAGAAACAAATAATAACTGATGGTTAGTGTATCATCAGTAGATAATATTAGATATGAGTCTATTAAATTAGAAGATAATGAGAAACTTAGAGCTACAGTTGCTTATAATGAAGTATATATAACTGAAATAGAAGAAGAGAAGAAACAATTAGAGGAACAATATCTAAGTTAGAGTATTATCATCAATGTATATACTATATAATGAGAGAATATTTAGATCTTAAAACTAAAGTTGCTGATAATGAATTGTATACTGCCAA